GCCGCGCCGGTCGACGGACGCGGGGAGCGCGGGACGTCCGGCGCCGTCGCGCGGCGAGGAGTGGCGGCTGGCCCGGCGGCCGCGGCGCGCGCAGAGTCTGTGAGCAGCGGCGCATGCCGCTCCTCGGACTGCCAGGGTGAGACTGCTGCTATGGGGTTGGCGAGGCGCGGGCACGAGCAACTGTTGCAAGGGCGCAGAAGGGGGACCTGATCGGAGGCTGCCTGACGATTGGCATTGCTGGATTGCTGTGCTGTTGTGCCTGCTGGGCTGATTCTGGGCCGCAGCGCTGTATTTGCAACCCCCGGCTCCCAACCGCCGTCGCCCTGCTGCAGACGAACACTGGTCGACGCCCCGCCTGCTGCCGCTACCACCTGGCCAGCCCACTGGGGCGGCGGCGGCGGCGGCAGCGCCACAGCCGCCGCAGCAGCGGCGGCCGCCGCTTCCGCGCTGCTGTCTGCGCCTGTGCCAATGCTTGAGGGGGAGGGAAGGCCGGACGGCGCTCTGTCAGCGCCGCACCCTGCTGCAAAGCTTTGGTGCTCTGACGCAGCCTCCCCATCAGACTCAGCGCCCACGTTGCTCGACCACTCCGCTCGTTGCTGCCGGGCGCCGCCTCTGCCCGTGCCGCCGCCAAGCCGTCCCTGGCTGCTGCCTGTGCGGCGCGCGACCAACCCTCGTTGGTTGGTCCTACCGCGGGCCTCTGCCGTCGGCAGGCCCGCGGTCGCCGGCCCAGGACCCCTGCTTCGGGTGCTGTTGCCGCTGCCGCCGCCGCCGCGTCGTCCACACGCGCCTTTCTCGGCGCCAGACGCACCACGTCGGGTGCCCCTGACCCCGGGCGCGCTAGGCCCACTGTCACCAGGCCAGGGCGCGGCAACCGGAGGGTACAGCTTCCGGGACAGCCGGGCCGACGCAGCAAAGACCCCTTGTGGCTGTGCGTGTGCGGGGAGCGGGAGAAATACGTGCGCGGGGAGGCAGAGCAAACAAAAGCATGACTATTCTGCTGTGCAGAGCGGCATGCGGCAGCATGCGGCTCTGGCTGGCGTCAGGCTGGTGTGGCCCACTGCTTGGGCCCTGGACAGCA